TTCAAATAGGTAATGAATCATGCACATTTTAAAAATCATGTAGAGGAAGGAGGCAAAGTATATTTTAACCGGAAAAAAACATTTTTAATATGATTAATTAATGTACAATTTGATAGATTTTTTTTCAACATTTGATGTAGGAAGGTATGTCTATGTGGTTATTTATTTTTGATAAAATAATGACAACAAAATCGTTTTTGTCAAATACTGGTATTCCCGTTTTCCAAAATTTTTTTTTGAAAACCTATATATCGCTTTTTCCCTTTCTGGAATCATAATTATTATTTTCCCAAGTACATTATTATTATTGTGTATGTATTGATATCTCAACCAGGGACGGATAAAGGGGGGGGGGGCTTAGGCCCCCCAAGACATATTTATTTATAAATATAAACATCATATTATTTTAAATAACAAATAAACAAAATCTAAACTTAATTTCACATTGTCGTTTTATATATTAAGTAATTATTAATTTATTTATCACATTGATTACCTATACCTACTATTATGACAACATTTTCAAATTAAGAATAAAGTATAATATTTTATCATAATTGGATTTGTGTTGTAAAAAAATTGTTGGGGCACCCCCAGATCTTTGCTTTGGATCCATGCTTGTTCGCAACGAGGCATATTCATCGGGATGACAAGTGCGTATATTCGTCTACGTGTTAAATAATATTATTATTCCAATCGTCGCGACGAGGTCGATATTTTGTATAAATAATTATCGGGATGACAAGTGCGTATTTCGGCTACGCGTTCCAGCTATAATAATAGTATTATTATTATAATCAACGTATATGGAAAGTGTAAACGTCTCGAACGCCGTTCGAATTACAAATAAACAAACTCTGATAACAATCATATAAATCTTGTGAAATGTGCTGAATAGTAGCATTTTTCTTTACATAATGGTAAGAATATTTTACATCGTATAAGTCACAGGCGCAACTAAGGTGAAAATTCTGGGAATGCCTGACAAAACTACTAATTTAATATAACCCATAGCCAGCCTATCTAAATCAATAAGGAATATTGTTGGGGAGTCAAAATCATAATCAGGGGAGCTATAGCCTATGGGTAATAATTATATTGAACTGTTGCCTAATCTTTATAATATTATAATATAGTAAACGGATTGCGGGGAATGTTAATAAATTAAAATAATAATTAAATATAAATATTAAATAACAATATAGGCCTGGTGAGGTTAAAATAGTTTTTCTGTGATAAGTCGTTTGAAATTCGTTAGTTTATAAATGCATCTCGGTGATGCGTTCTGTTGTCGAACCGTAAAATCGTTGATTTCCGGACAACCCGCCGAGTGCTGGTGAGTGATGACCATATTGCAATAATATTTCTCAATTAGGTATATTAATCTCAATTTTATAGCTAAAGATCGACGATTTAAAATAATGTTTCTATAATTTGTTATTCTATTATTTTCAAGTCCATACTTATACTTTGATCATGGTAAATAATATGATTTTTATTTTATTCGTATCATGTTTGTGTTTGAAAGAGTTAAGTATTTACCTTAACTAGAATCAGTATATAAACGTATATTTATTATTATACTAGCCAACATTTAGAAAAAATACAAAATGAGTAACTTATGTATATTTTTGATCGTACTCTTGCTCTATAATAATCAAATTTATATTGATTTGGCTTTATTTCCCTCAATTTTTGCTGCATGATAATTGTTTTAGGCCAAACTCATTTATCATATCGTCTACAAAGTAGGAAGGTTTTCATAGCGTTATTAATATTTGAAATTATATAAATCAGAAATATTAATAAATATATATTCATTTATCTTATTATTTATTTGAATACAACATCAAAATTATTATTAATCATAAATTTAAAATTAAAAACAATAAAATATATATGAAGTCTGTAGACTTACAGGTACATGACGATAATAGAAGTGTAGTCCAATATGTTATCACAATTATTTATTTCTTCTTTAAACTGAATGGCCTTGTAAATTTTTCTTTTATTTATATATATTTATTTATGGGTATATATTTTACATACTAGGGGCACAACTTAACCTTACTGTATAAGTACTTGAATTGATTTTAAAAGAATTATATGCCTAGGTAATACATAAATTACAGCACAAATAAAATATGGTATACTAGCTGTATTTATATATTTATAAAATATTATGGCACTTAGGTGATTCAAATCCTTGATTGCATTCCTTACACATATACGGTTTTAAGATAGTGTGGTTTAAGTTATCATGGTATTGGAGGTCTTGTTTGCAAGAAAACGTCGAATGACTGCTGTGGTATCCCCTTTGTTATGAATCTTGTCGATGTGTCTAATTTTGCTATGAGTTGTGCTAACTGCTAAATTGGCGACCTCATATATCACAAGAATGCTTCACTTTTACATGAACAGTTTTGATATGTCGTAGTAGTTTATCTTTTCTGTTGAAAATGCTATTTGCATGAATTGGAACCATAGTGAAGCAATGTGTGAACATTTGTACAAAAAAATTTGTCCACCCATGTTGCATGTAAATATAACTAAAGTCTTTAAACTGAATGGCTTTGTAAATTTTCCTTTTATTTATATATATATTTATGGGTAGGTATTTTACATACTAGGGGCACAAATTAAACTTACTGTATACTTACTTGAATTGATTTGAAAAGAATTATATGCCTAGGTAATACATAAATTACAGCACAAATAAAATATGGTTTACTGTACCTATACTATTTATATATTTATAAAATATTATGGCACTTACAATTTTTTCTTTTAATTTTCTAATCTAAAAACACATGAAACAAATAATTGTACCATCGAATTCATGTATCATGCTATAGTTCTAATCGTATTCATGCTTATTAATCAATTAGTTTTTTATTTGATTTTCTATGTATATGTAGCAAATAATTTGATTCAAATCCTGGATTGCATTCCTTACACATATATGGTTTTAAGATAGTGTGGTATAAGTAATCATGGTATTGTAGGTCTTGTTTGCAAGAAAACGTTGAATGACTGTGGTATCCCCTTTGTTATGAATCTTGTCGATGTGTCTAATTTTGCTATGAGTTGTGCTAAATTGGCGACCTCACGTATCACAAGAGTGCTATCATATTATTTATTTCGGCATTGTTGAATACATTATCAAAAATGTATTATTATTAAACGTAAGTTTAATATTGAAAACAATAAAATACATATGAAGTCTATACACATAATGATGATAATTGATAAGAGAAGTTTAATCCAATATTTAACAACAATAATTTATTTATGCTTTAAACTGAATATCCTTGTAAAATTTGTTCTATTTATATATATCCATTCCTAGGTATGTTTAGGTATTTTACATACTAGTTGCACAACTTAACCTTACTGTATAAGTACTTGAATTGATATGAAAAGACTTATATGCCCAGGTGATACATAAATTACAGCACAAATAAAATATGGTATACTAGCTGTATTTATATATTTATAAAATATTATGGCACTTAGGTGATTCAAATCCTTGATTGAATTCCTTACACATATACGGTTTTAAGATAGTGTGGTTTAAGTTATCATGGTATTGAAGGTCTTGTTTGCAAGAAAACGTCGAATGACTGTGGTATCCCCTTTGTTATGAATCTTGTCGATGTGTCTAATTTTGCTATGAGTTGTGCTAAATTGGCGACCTCATATATCACAAGAATGCTTCACTTTTACATGAACAGTTTTGATATGTCGTAGTAGTTTATCTTTTCTGTTGAAAATCCTATCGCATTTTTCACATGCATGAATTGGAACCATAGTGAAGCAATGTGTGAACATTTGTACAAAAAAATTTGTCCACCCATGTTGCATGTAAATATAACTAGTCTTCTTCACTGCAGTCTGAATTCAAAATTATGCAACCTGCATCTTGTTAACTTTCTCGATAATATGTCCTGTGTGTTTAATTTCACAGGAATGACACATACATTCTTCGTTGTTTCGTCCGCAATAATGTGGGCCAAAGTTCACAGTTATTTCTTCGCTAATTCTCATTTTTTATTTCCTAATGACAATATATCTGTGTTCGCCTCACAATAGGGATTTAGGAAACTTGCTGGACCAAGCCACAATTTTGTTTTGGCCTGTATATTTTGACTTCACACTGAATATTCTCGTATTTTACCAGAAAAAAAAATCAACTGTGACAGGTGCCATTGAAATGTATAATTCCATTATCTGGTTATCCATGTAAATGATTTTTGTAGCCACCACTTTCACGCCTAAATCTTGAAATCTCTATCCTTCGGTTATCTATTACATGGCCGATATACAAAGCTAGAACTCAGCCCAAGCGATTGTTCATATTTATCTTGTTTTAATCTTAACATTTTCTTGTCACGCATAGTAATGATGGCCACTGGCGTAACTCCTGATTTATGTGTTGTTAATCCAAGTATAGGATCCAAATATTATCTTAGACAAATGTCGTCGACTGTGCAAAGAATTGATGCTTTTAAATTTGATGACATTCTAAAATATTTTAATATAATAAAAAAAATATAAATTATTATACATTTCTTACATCTTTTGATTCCATCACCACCTACTACGCACTTGGCGGAGAACCTCACCTCCGCAAACTTTGATAAGTTTCGCGAAAGTGTTCACCCCGTCGGAGATGGAGTTGGTCACGCAGAAAGGCGTATATCCATATGAATATACAGATTCGTGGGATAAATTGGACGCTACGTCGCTACCGGACAAGTTCCAGTTCTGCAGCGCGCTGACTGAGACGCACGTGACCGACAAGGATTATAGTCACGGGACCAGGGTCTGGAATCATTTCGGCTGCACCTCACTCGGCGCTTATAGCGATTTATACCTTAAAGTCGACGTGATATGTTAAGCGCCGACGTGTTTGAGAATTTCAGGGATATATATGTATGGCCACATATCACCTCGACCCCGCACATTACTACACGTTACCCGACTTCAGTTTCGACTGTATGCTGAAACTTACGAAAGTTCATCTTGAACTTTTGACCGATTTCGAGAAAGTTCTGTTCGTCGAGTCGGGGACGCGTGAGGGTCTGGTTCAGGCTAACAAGCGTCACGCGCGTGCCAACAATCCTGAGACGCCGGGATACAATGCGGAAGAACCCAACACGTCACTCATATACCTAGATGGTGATTATAAAATATAAAATATATGTGCGCGTATACTAATCCATTTTTACCGTATTTATTTAGCAAACAATTTGTACGGGTACGCGATGTGTCAGTATATGCCGATTGGGGATTTCGTATGGTACGCGGGAAATCCAGAGGTCGCGCTGGCTCAGTTAGAGTGGATGCTCGCGACGGACGATGTGGGTAGATTTTTCGAGGTGGATATAATATATCCGCAGGATCTACACGACGCCCACAACGATATGCCGTTCCTGCGTTTATGCGAAACTTGATGGTTACTTTTCTGCGGAAAGAACGCTACGTGGTTCATTATATGAATTTAAAACAGGCCATGGCCCACGGCGTCGTAGTCGAAAAAGTTATTATTAATATAATTATTATTTGACGAATACGATTCTTATGACTTTTACACACATTATAGACGCACAGAGTATTAGAATTTCGCCAATCACCATGGCTGGCTCCGTACATAAATCTGAACACGGAATTGCGGAAGCAGGCGAAAAACAAATTCGAAGAAAAGTTTTTCAAAGATTTAAATAATTCAGTGTACGGTATGTTATGGTTATAAATTGTACATGTTTTATCGAACTTCAACCTGCTCAAACTTTACTTCATGATAACTATGTATATGTATGCAGGGAAAACTTTCGAGAATATGCGCCTATGATTTGATTTGGAGCTTGTATCGTGTCCAGTCAGAATGCGGAAGCTGATAAACCGCCCGACGTTCAAGTACTGCACGACTTACAATGAAAATCTTTCGGTCGTCACGCAACATAATAAAGAAGTCGATTTTTGTAAGCCGATATACATAGGATTTGCTGTACTGGAACTGAGTAAAGTTTTAATGTATGGATTTCATTATGACGTTATGAAACGACCTTATGGAGATAAGATCGAGCTGCTTTATACCGATACTGGTACGTCTATATAAATCTCTTGCAGACTCATGCAGATCTTATATATTATTAATTATTTTTATTTAATATTTCAGATTCACTATTCTACCGCGTGACGACCAACGATTTCTTCGCCGATTTGATCAACAATCCAAATCTGATGCGGTTTATGGACACCTCAAATTTCGCACACGATCACAAGTGCTATACAGCTGCTCGGAAGCGCATTCCAGGACTTTTTAAATTCGAGTGTGGCTCCAGGACGGTCTACGAATTTGTAGCTTTGCGCGCCAAGTCTTATGCGTACGACGTGGAAGAGGAGGTCACAATTCGCGCGAAGGGTGTCATGAGACACGTTATTAGAAATCACCTAAATTTCGCCAAGCATAAGCGGTGCTTTTTCGCCGACGTGGACGACGATGCAGAATCCGACGAGTGTGACGACGAATTCGACGCAAATATGGGGAAAATGATCGCAGCCGACTCCGCGCTGAAAGCTGTAGCACAAATTCATCGGAACGCCTCAACGTCTGCAACAAATTCACCGTCGACCACACATCCGTCACAGAAAATGTAGAGAAGATGTCTCTATACGGTCGTTTAAACACGAAATGCGTACGATTAGGACTATGAAATTAGTTTTAAACAGGGCTGACGATAAGCGTCATGTCATACCGGACAACATTTCGACATACGCGCACGGTCATCACCGCATAAATTATTAAATTGTTATTATTGTTATTGTTCAACCATCTCATATCTCATATATTTATAATCTATTAAAATATCTATATAAATTGTATAATCGTGAAATGTGACTACTGCATACTTATATAACCTGATAAAATATATGTATATGTATAATGTATAATCGTGAAATACAACCGTTTTATATAAAAATATGAGAGTGTACGATGCTAAAATATTATATTAACTACGTTTTGTATTTAATCTCGTGTTTTTAAATTATTATTATTATTTTAGTATCGCAACCTAATCTTCTCATCCTTATCATATTTTACCTCATCTTTATCTTCTTATCCTTATCTTACCGAGGTCTCGACAACATTATTGTTATTATTATTATTTTTAAAAAACCCCCGCCCATTCGCGCTGTGATAAGAAGCGGGGCGAGGATATTTGATATGCCTACATACGGTGTTCTGATGGCTAGCACTTCTCCGTCAGTCAGTCAGTCAGTCAGTCAGTCTTTGGAGTTAAACATTTACTCGCGTGTAATAACGATATATTAATATGTCGTCAGAGGAGTGCTCGTTTTTCGACTATGGGCTCAAGTCTCGATGTGCGGTAAGTTTTATAATTTTATACCACTCTACTTAAATAGAGAAGCACATCCGCAACTACACGATAATACAACTACGAATATTACAACTATATAAAACTACTAAAAATAAAAGTGAGTTAATTTTTACTCTAATAATAAAAATAACTATTCTCCCTAGACACCCACGTTTAAATAATTTAATTTTTTTCTAACATATATTTTTTCTGTTCACAGTTTAATATGGCTTTTTTAAAATCACTCCAGCAGCAAACGGAGATCCGGAACCTATCGATTGGGGAGCTGACAAAGGATTTAGAGTATCCTGTCAACACAATGAGCACCGTGGAAACAAAATTCGGACCGGCTGTGCAATGCGTTTTACAAGACCCGTCTGGTGTTGGAATAATTAACGTCTTCCTGCCTAAGACTGTGCGAATGACCGGAGAAGAAATCAATCGGTATAATCTCCGCGAGGTCGATCCGGTCAGGCTAATTTTTCGGGGTATGAACAAAAGAAGTTTCATTATAGCTTTCGTATGAAATAAATAATATTACATTTTATCATTAAATTTTGAAATCAAACGTTTTTTCCAGTGTTCAGCACAATTATCTTTAAGATCACTGCTATCCCACTCGTAGTCGGTCGTTTGCCCGGATTGTATATCATCTGAAAATTCAAAATATGGGTTTTTATTTTTTTCTATAGTCATTTTATTTATATATTATATAATATATATATCAAGACTCACTTAATACTTCCACTTCATCGGGAAATCGTCCGGACAAAAGATCAAGTACCGCAAGTGAATAATTAGAGTCCGGCGTCTCCCACGTAAACTGTTGAGCGTCTTGTTGCAACGACTGACTCAAATCGGTCGTTTTCCACGAGAAACGTTGGCCGGGGTTGAATCCCAAATCTACTAGTGGCTCGACTATAATATGAAATTAATGAAGATGTAATTATAGCTAATAGTATCAGTCCGGTCAAAGGTAATAAAATAATAATTAATATAATAAATATATCCGAACAACCGTTTATTATCGAACAATTAACCACGAGTAATTTTAAATGGGAACCGTACCACGATAACGTTTTTATTGCTAGCGAAAGCAACAACTACTCTTCGAATAGAATTAAAAGGATCAAAGATACTATTAATACCGAGCATCTTAATCACGAAGAACGCGATAACATATTAGACCTGTGATAGTCGAGAATTGATTAATTCGTTTTTCAATACAATATATTTTAATCTCTTTAATAGCGTCGTAATAATTCTCGGCGTTAATTGTCGTATAATGATTATTTTTAAGATTGTAGAATATTACTAATTTGTCGGTTTGTTTAATCGAAACAAATTTATTATTATCATTAAAAATTACCTGCTGCGGTAAATCGTTATTGTTTATTACATCTCTTATCGCTGGATGCGTTATTATTTAATCATTTGAAATAGGTAAAATTATATTTTCATTATTTTGCGCGTGTTTTATACTTCTATAGGAATTAATATAGATGGACTACCAATCGCTAATAGTTCAAAAAGCCAACTTTGGCCAATATTAATTTCAATATTAAATTTTAAAGAGTTTCCAAATAATGTGATTCCTATAGGTATTTTTCATGGATTTCAAAAGCCTAAATCTATAGAAGAATATCTAAATACATTTATTATTGATTTATTAGAAGTGATCGACAATGGCTTAAATGTAAATGAAACTTTATTTACATTAACAATTTCTAATATATCTTGTGATGCTCCGGCAAAGGCTTTTTTACTCAATGTTAAAAGCCACAATGCTTATTTTGGTTGTACATCTTGTACCGAAGAGGGTACATATCTAGAGCATAGAATGACATATCCTGGGTTGGATTCACCATTGCGTACTGATGAGTCTTTTAGGAATCAAACTGATGATGATTATCACAAAGGTAATAGCCCGTTAGTTTGTTTACACATTAACATAACAGATATAGTCGTATTAGACTATATGCATAATGTTTGCTTAGGTGTAGTAAAAAGATTAATAGAAATTTGGGTTAGAGGGAATAAACAATTTAGGTTGGTAAAAGAAAAAAAAGATAAGATAAATAATGAATTAAAAAATATAAGACCCTATATACCATCAGAGTTATGTCGCTTACCGAGGCCATTAGATGACATAGAGTACTATAAAGCGACAGAACTTAGGACATTTTTATTATATACTGGTCAAATTGTTTTGAAAGGTTATTTCAAAAAAAAAGTTCTACTTTCATTTCTTATTATTAGTCTTTGTAATTAGAATTTTAATTTGTGCTGAAACCTGTTATAAATACAATGAATTAGCATCTCAGTTCCTTAAAAAAATTGTGAATGATTATGCTATCTTATATGGCTTTCATTTAATAACATATAATGTCCATAGCTTCATTTACCAATGTTTGTACTTAAACATGGTAAACTAGACAATTTTAAATGCTTCCGGTATGAAAACTATTTACAAGACTTAAAAAAATCAATCAAATCTATTAAATACCGATTACAAGAAATATTTAATAGAATACTAGAAAGTCAAAAAATAAGTAATGAACTTCCTTCTCAATTATTCTCTCCAATCCCATCCTTATACAATGAAATTATACATAGAATTCCTTTACCATTTTTTAATACTAATGATGTACTATTTGAAAAAAATATTTTACCATATTCTAATACATCAATAAATATTAAAAAAGAAAAGATAAATACTTAATGTTAACAAATAGTAACATTGTCTCTGTTCAACATATTATTGTGTCTCAGAACAAACCAGCGTGTTTAATTGTAAAACAGTTCCTTAGTTTTTCAGAATTTACTACTGTACCATTATCATCTTTTAAAATTGGTGTGTGCATCATTGACACTACTAAAATGTCTGAATTGTTTTGTGCAAATTTAACTGATATTAAATACAAATGTTTTCTTATTAGGATATCAAACAATTTAGCATCGATTTCTTCTTTGAACCATGCAGTATAAACTATGTTTTCTTTATTTTGTTTTAATTTTTTGTAAAATCAAGCTGATTATAACTACATAAAAGAATTTACTTGTATTTTTTTTTTTATAATTTTTATATGTTCAATGTTTTCCATAATAAATTGTTATTCATTTCTAAAAAATTGTTTTTTATTAGTATTTATTACAAAAATTCAATGCTCAAATTGAGTTTGTATGCCAATTATATGTTTTTAATAAAACGACCATATTACGGTAATTTGAAACATTACATAGATGTATTGAAGGAAGATTACTTTTAAACATCTTGGCAACCTCAATTGATGTTATGGAGATATAATTATTTTACGTTTATAAACCATTGATGTGTAACTTTGAAGGAATGTTAAAAAGAAATGTTAATAATACGTATCTTAAAAGACATCATTACGGAGTAAAGACAGTTTAAGAGATGTTATTCATACGTGTATGAAACGCAATCTATGATGTTCCTTTTTTTCAGAAAAACAACCCAGTAACATCGGTGAGACAAATTATTGTTCAGTGGGAAGGCTCCTAATATATTGTAACAATGATAATTAAAAAATAATAAAAATCTATGGTCCTCTGTTTTGCTATTACATGTAATAGTTTGTATCAAGTCCCACAATGCACTCAACGTTTGACAAAGATTTGGCAGTGTCGCATCGCCTTCGCTCAGGGTCAACCACAAATCCTGTCTTTTGCTAATATATTTCCAGGCAATGTTCGTTCTATTCCGTTTAATTGTTATTAAGAATCCTGATTTCGTTGTTGAGATTGTTCTTTTTCTTCAGACATCTGACCATCTACCCATCTGTAGATTAAACTCGACAAGAATACAAAAATAATCATTCCTTAACTATTATCCGGATGACCAGACAGCAATTTTTTGTTTCAAAATATTATTGTAACATTATAATGACGAATAATATTAGTATAATATTATAATATTATCATTACAAAATGCTGTTTACATAATTGTGTTTGATTTCGATATTTATGAATGGTTTTTTTTTTATATTGTTCTTTTTTTTATAACAGTGACGAAGTTTGTATTATGCACAATAAAAATTAATATTAAACATGACACCTTTGTTTTGTCATGAAAATAATATATTATAACAAAAAGCACTCCTATTTTAAAATGTGTATATTATTAGGTATTGAATATAATATTCTTAAAGTCAATTGGAAATAACTATAATTATAGTATTATAGTATTTTAGTGTATATACTTAATTTTTCTTTATAATTAAACCCCCTACCACCCTCCTTATAATTTTAGTCGGCTGATTTAGATTCTGCATACGCTAAACAATACTTCTGGCTCTGACTATTAATATGTATTTGCTTATTACTTTATTCATTAAGTACCTACGAATAAAATACAAGTTTTAACATTAATATGATAATATGTAATTAATTGCATTGATATTAGGGAATAATAAATAAAACAATACTTTGTCAACCAATTAGTTATTTCAAAACAAAAAACATTTAGATTTTACCTTTTTCACAGTGGACTTTTTATGTTTTGGGCTTTTTAACCGTTGACTTTTCATACTTAAGACTTTTTAAAAAAGGGCATTTTTACCCGGGACTTTCTTACCTCAGACTTTTTGGTACTATACCGTACTTGTACTCGGTACATCGCTGCATTGTAAATAACTAGGTAAATTGGTATCCTTTAATATTATCGTCAATATTACACATGATTAGATATAAGTCTAAAGACCGGATTTATATGTTTTTACATATCGTTACTGGCTCTATGCAGTCTTATGAGAGCAAAAAATGTGGATATTTATCATATTTTAGCAAATTTCGTAAATTGTGAGCAAAAATTTGTATTTATTTTTAATTTTAATATTACGGTACTCGGAAAAAATTTTTTTGAACATTTACAATTTATTTATTTATATTTTTCATTTTGATAAAAAGAAAACACGCAGTATTATCAAGGTTTATCTATGTATATCTACTGATAAGATCAATATACGTAGTATAGGTATACGTTTATCAAATATGCAAATAATCAAATATCAAAATTTTGTTTTTGTGTTTTAATATTAAACTGTTATATTTATATTATATTCCAACTTCCTACTCTTACTAAAATGCAATACTATTCCATTAGGTATAATACACAACTTTTAATACCTAATTAATGTCTCACAATAAAAATAAAGTTGAAAAAATTTTTAAAAAATAAATGCATATTAAAGCATAAAATGATGTTTTTTGATTATTTTAGCATATTTTTTAGATTTTTGAGAGAATATAATGACAATATTTGAAGGTTTTTTAGAGAATATTAGCATCATATATTGGGTATTTTAAGAGAATATAAATCCGGCCTTTAGATATAACCATATTTGTGACAGTAATGTTTTTATTTGTGGTATCCCCTTATTGTTATGAATCTTGTCGATGTGTCTAATTTTGCTATGAGTTGTGCTAAATTGGCAACCTCACGTATCACAAGAATGCTATCATATTATTTATTTCAGCATTGTTGAATACAATATCAAAAATGTA